GTGACCTCTAGGGGTCCCTTCCAACCCAAAACATTCTATGATTCTATGATTTTCCTCTTCTCTCACTTAATGTGACAGTTACAGGGTTTTTAGGTTTTGAGTGATCACTTAACGGGTCATTGTTTTGGAATTGAATAATAAATTTCACCACGATAACTCAATGATAATATGTTGACTTAAGTGTGGCAAGAAAATATATTAGATATTCAACCCAGCAGATAGCTGGTAGAAACCTGACATTTAATGAACAGGTTCGGTAGAAGGACAGCTAAACTGCATGCTTGTTGGGATACGAATCCTCGGGGCAGCTGTGGGACCCATGTGTGTCACCAAGGAGAACTTGTCTTTAAGAGAGCATCTTTCAACAACAATCAAAGAAGTCGTAATTCTCTTTTATGGCAGAACTTCCAGGTTTTCTACCAAATTCTCTAGAGCTGAGAACATTGTTTTCAAATGCATTTGTACACCAAATTTCCATCAAAACGAAAGAGTGAAACAAAAAGCTAGGTGAGAAATGGCCTTGAAGGACATGGACTAAGGGGATAGTTTGCTGAAGGGTGTGTTTGACCTATTCCATCTTCATTAACTGATTTCTAAGCAGTCAGTGTGGACTGAAATTTGTGACCCGTAGTCAGAACGTTTTTTGGTGGGGGCTGTCCCAGTGTGGGGTACAGAAAGCTGGCCGTAATACCTGCAGGGCAGCGTGGCTATACCAGTAGTGACAGGACTTTGATGGTTTGGCCTTGAAAATGGATGATTTTGAGGTTTTTGCAGCTGAATTAGATGGGCCAAGTAAGACAGGGCTCAAGTTCTGGATTGTTGGGTTCTTGTCTGAAGAACGGTTTTGAAGCCTCAGAAATTCACATCCGTCAAGGAAGCAGGGAGCTGCCTGGAGCAACGCTCGTTTGCTGGGCATCCTTCGTGACATGTCACTGTAAGTTCTGTTCTGAAAAACCGTTCCTGAGTGGTACTTCTGGGATCTTCATACCTGTAACTCGGTGTTAAGACGGTGCAGCACCACGTCAACCGTAATGCAGCCACGCGTTGCTTCTCTTCGGGTGTCGTTACCGGTCAGGCGTATGGCAGTACTCAGCTCGAATGCTGTTGCGGGAACTCTTACGGAGAAAAGGATCAAGATGCAAAACCGCCGTACCCTCTGGCAGAGCAAGGGGTAGGGATCGCACGCAGTGGACGCGGACTTGCAAGCGATGCATCTCTCGTGCCAGCAGAAGTCCCGTTGTGCAAGCTCAGGGACGAGGTTCACAGGAGCATCTGCAGCAGCAAACAGGGGGTGAAGCAGGCCAGATTTGTAACGGGAAGCTTTGGAGAAGCTGGAAATACACGGAAGTGTAAAAGGATACTGGAAAGACCATACTACTGGGGTCTTCTTCTTGTGGAGATAGAAGATAACTTCTCCTCAGAAAAATATATAGTCTTACAGGACAGAGGATGAAAGTGTTTAAGGACAGGGACAAGCGTCTGCCTGAAGGAGAGAGCTTCTGGGATATCAAGGGTTGGAAGATTTCTTGCATTTGCTGTGTAAAGACAGGATAGGCCCTTGTAATTTTGCCTGCTTAGAAGATGCCTGTGTTCAAGGAAGGGTTGTGTTCAACTCATCGTTGAGGTTAGCTAATGACAAATCTTAGCAATGCCAGCTCTGCTGTAAGAACAGGTTAGGCTTCTGGGAGATACATGAAATTAAAGGAGATTGTGTCCCCAGAAGCAGATAACCCAGCGAGGAGCGTGTAAACACAAACACTCTGGGATGATAAAGTACTCAGAAATAATTCTGCAGCTTGAGACTGGCGGAAATGAAGCTCAGAGGGAGTTATTTGAAGCATTAGCCAGGTCTGTTTGGCCTGCAAGCAGAGGTGTACATAAAGAATATTACTGGACATCACCAAGTGCAGCAAAGGCAAGGAAGGGCAGAGATGTTGGTTGGGGGCGTGACGGGCAGTGCAGAGATCTGGTACCACGTTCTGGTACCAGGCAGGGCCCGGAGGAGACAGTGGCTTGAGGGACACGTGTACGTGAGAAGACGCAGAGAACTATTGGCCTTTAAGACCTTGGCTCAGTCCTTGATGCCGAGGAAGCTTGGTGTGGTGGGTAGGAAGAAATGTTTGGTGCCCGTTATCCTGGGGCTGCCGGGCAGTGGCTGCTTTGGTGGGTTCTCACCAGGGTTGAGTTCCCGTGTGGTCGCAGGGATGCGATAAGGAACAAGGGGCATTTGCACCATTGGAAACGTCACTGCTGCAAGTGTGCTTCTGCCCAACCTGGCTAGGGAATTTCAGTGGCCAGAGAAAGTCACACAAATACTGCCGAAAGGTCCCTTGGAGTGATGCTGGAAGCGTGAAAGGTGGGAGGAGGGCGCAGCAGCGCTTCGCTGGCCATCTCCTGAGCTGGGAGCCCCAGCCTGGTTCTCCCCAGCTGGGGAGCTGGTGCCGCAAGCACTGGAGTGCCTCCGGCCGAGCTGGGAGCTCCTGCTCTTACCACTGCTGGGACGGTGGTGGTGGGTATGTGGCCCCAGGTCCTTCACAGCATGGTCTTCAGAAGCAACAGGACACGGAGGGGGAAGGTACGAACCCAGCCTTTCCCGGCCTGATGTTCTGCTGAAAACTAGGAGTGGGTTGTTACCGTCGCAGGCTTTGGGCTGAATCTGGAGCAATGCCAAGTGGTTGCAATTTATCTTCAGTTCATCTAAGGATTTGCACTCTCTCAGCTGTAGAACTTGGTGGTTTAAAGCGTCGCATGCATGGGGCCCATTATCTAGTGTTTTCTGGTGTGGAAGAGGAGAAGTAATTGGAATTTGCTTCTATGATTATTTCTGTGACATACAGAGTTGCCCTGTTTTTCCGCTAGCCTTAGGGGCTGTTGCTTCATGCAGGTGTAAAGCTGTTTACTTAAAAAAAAAAAAAAAAAAAAAAAAAAGCCAAAATCCACTAGCATCTTTCCTAACTCCCCCTCTCCCCCCAAATCACAGTCTGCAGTGTGCTGGTCAAGACATAATCCTGTTCCTTTCCCTGTAGGTGACGACTTCATCAGGAAGTAAGTGCTTCTCGTGTCGTTCTGCAGCAGAGCGAGATAAATGGATGGAAAACCTGCGGCGTGCCGTGCACCCAAATAAGGTAGTGGCTTTGAGGAATTGCCTCTGTTATAGTTCAGTTCCTCGTTATTACATTTTATAGCCCAGTACATAGTAGCAGCAGGGGACGTATTGTCATTTCAGTGAGTAAGTGTAACTGTGGGTCAGCCTTTTTCCATATTGCTTTCTTCCACAATTATATTTACAGGCAAGTGCCAATTATTTCTTCCCCTCTTTTCTCAGCACATGCTGCTTCAGCTGTTGCTAAGAATTGATCAGACCTGAAGAATCTCCCATCTTCCTCTGTTACTGATGATGCTTTATGTAGGACTTCCCACCTCCCAAAAGCTCTGGGACAGATGTCAAGTAGCTGCCAGCAAAGTTACAAGACTGAATAGCCTGAAGAGTTCACGTATCACCCTTCTTGGCTCTGGCAGTACTCGCTGTGTCTGCTTTAGCGATGGAGAAACTCAGGTGCCCATCGCGGCGAGTGCTCTGAGGCGGTAGTGGAACGTAGCTTTCCCTTCTCCAGTCAGCTGAGGTGGCAAAGTCATCCCCACTGGGATCTACAGAAGCAAATCCTCCCCTGCGCTAGCACACAGGGACACCCACTACGCGGTTCTATGGCTCACTGACACTAAGTCTGTCCTAAACCAAAACCTGCTTCTCCCTCTGGAGTTAGCTAGCAAAGATTGATCAGGACTGATCGGCTGTGGGATTTCACAACCGATGGGCTCAATCAACGAGTCTCTGCTGATCAGGCAAACGATGGGATCTTGTGAATTCATTCCTGGCGTCAGAGCTGCGTAACTCTGCCTGCACGTTAGGGCCAGGCCTGGCGGGTTGCTAAGGGAGCCTTCCGTGTCAGCGTTTTTTGTTCCCAGCGCGGTGCCAAATGCCAGGTAGAGAGAAAAGATTTCCTTCGGTATCGGAAGCGGAGCAGCAGAGGGGAGAGGTGGGCTCCTGCCTCCAGCAGCGTGCTCTGCACGAGGGGTTCACTGGCTCTGGGGCCTTCCCGGCGCAGCAGCCTGGCAGTGATGATCTGTAAGAGCTGCGTGAGGTTTGCATGGTTACACTTAACCGTGAGAGAAGTCCCGGGAATGTGAGTTGGGGCTGGGCACGTCCCTACGGCTTTGAAGATGCAGTGTTGAGCGGAAATTCACTTGGTATTGTGCCCTCATCTCAAAACATGCCATTAACTGATGGCTAACTTTCCATCTTTGTTCGAGTTCATAGACAATAAACTCTCAGTATCCGACTTCGTATTTCCATCAGAAATTCGGCGTTCTCCTGTAGTTCCTGTCTGTACTTCCTGAACCGACAGTACCCCGTTGTGGGCTTCCAGCAGAAATGTTCCTGCCCCAACTCCTCGGCTGTGGTTGTTGTTTCAGTGAGGGGTTTCCAAACAAAACGGGTTACTGCAGAATCCCTAGCAGCGGCTCAGCTGCAAGGGCTTTGTCGTCCAAGTCAACAAATGCCCCTGGACGTTCTTCCAGGATGAGGTCAGCATCACTGGGGAGCTCTTAAAGATCCTCAGCATCCTCTGCTCTGTTACTGTTTAAAAGATACACAAGCCAAGTTTCTATTTCTGAGTTGTAACGGTTCCCCTGTGGAACTCACTCTGTCTCCCGTAATTCCTCCCGGTGCTTTGGCTGGGTGCTCTGGACTTCTGCCCTAACCTGATCTGGTTAGCGGTGTCCCTGCTCCCTGCAGGGGGGTTGGACTAGGTGACCTCTAGGGGTCCCTTCCAACCCAAACCATTCTATGATTCTATGAAAATAGCGTGAGGTTTTGTAAATGCTTCTTTCCCTGCCAGAGGTGGTCGCGTTCCAGCCACGGATGAGGTGATCCCTGGGTGTGTGTTCAGGTCCCTTTACTGTTGCTCTGTTACGGTAAAGAAGATGTACTCTGGTGCTGCGGAAAAGCGGCTGTGCTGAAAAAGGAGGTGGTTGTGAGATACCTGTAGCATAGCTTCTGTTTTGCGAAAGCCATTCATGATCACTGAGGTTCTCCGGGGTTCTGCTGAGGCCCTCTTGGTGGTGAATGGGAAACGGTACATTTATGATTTGGAGGGGTTTTATCTTCCTTGTTCCTTATATTAATTTGCACCAACAGACATGGAGAGTACGGTGATATTTGGAAAATTAACATAAGTAGTGTTATTATGCAAATTCCTGAGAGCCAGTATTTCCTTAAAATAAAATGTAATTAAGTCTCTGCTCATTTAGCACATCCGAAATAATTAACTTGTATCTCCACTTCTGTTGTGCTTGGCTTTGTGGGTTTTTTATTGACCTTTTTTTCTTTGCATCTTTTTTTCAGGACAACAGCAGAAGGGTAGAGAATATGTTAAAGTTATGGATTATTGAAGCCAAGGACCTGCCAGCTAAAAAAAAGTACTTGTGTGAATTATGCCTGGATGACGTTCTTTATGCACGAACTACCTGTAAATTGAAAACTGATAATGTATTTTGGGGGGAGCACTTTGAATTTAATAACCTCCCATCGCTCAAAAACATTACGGTGCACTTATACAAAGAGACTGACAAGAAGAAAAAGAAGGACAAGACCAATTTCATTGGACAAGTGAACATCCCCGTCAGCTCTGTCACGGGCCGGCAGTTTGTAGAGAAATGGTACCCAGTGGTCAGCCCCAACCCTGGTAAGGGCAAGTCCCCGGGGCCCATGATCCGCATCAAGTCACGCTACCAGAGCATGAGCATTCTGCCCATGGAGATGTACAAAGAGTTTGCCGAGTACATCACTAACAATTACATGGTGCTGTGCTCGGTGCTGGAGCCCTCGCTGAGCGTGAAGAACAAAGAGGAGATGGCGTCGGCGCTGGTGCACATCCTGCAGAGTACAGGCAAGGCCAAGGTAAGACCCTTCCTCATCCCTACCCTCCCACCAGAGACCGTCAGGAGCAGGCTCTGTGTTGGGTTTTGGGAACCGCCCCATCAGTTGGGCTTCAGGCCTAGCCGTCATTAACGCACTCTGATTTCGCTTCTCATTACAAACAAGTCGGTAGCGAATTGCTTAATTAGCAGAGCGGTCAGTGGGACCACAAGATATCAACCAAGTCATTTTTCTCTCCTCCTGGAGGCTCGGGGCCAGGCTCTTACTTTATAAACGGGCACAAATGGGTCGGCAAGCATGAAGGCAGTTTGCAGGGGTGAAATGCAAGCGATGACGGCTTAAGCTGAGCAGCCTGTGTGTGCTGGGTATTCCTGAGGGAACCAGCAGGTTCCCTGCTCCGCTCCCTCCCTCTCACCGTGCTGCTGTGCTGAGCACCCAGCACGGCGGGAGCCGATCCGGGGGGAAGAGCATCTTGAGAATTCCAGAGCAACGTCTGCCTGCGGGCAGTTTGCAGGGGTGAAATGCAAGCGATGACGGCTTAAGCTGAGCAGCCTGTGTGTGCTGGGTATTCCTGAGGGAACCAGCAGGTTCCCTGCTCCGCTCCCTCCCTCTCACCGTGCTGCTGTGCTGAGCACCCAGCACGGCGGGAGCCGATCCGGGGGGAAGAGCATCTTGAGAATTCCAGAGCAACGTCTGCCTGCGGGCACGCGCGTCTCTGAATCAGCTCTCAGTCTTCGGGGTCTGTCCTGATGCTTTTGGAAGGGGTGGGGAGGGGGGCTGATGCCGGCCAACTTGGAAGTGGTGGAAGTTCAGTTTTTGTGGACCACTTTGAACATCCTTCATGATTGGGAATCCCCTGCTGGGTCTAAGGAAGCAGGAGGCCAGGAGGAGGCAGAGCGTGGGATTTATTCCTGAGTGTGGTCTGCGAGGGTACGGGCAGGGTGAGCAGAGCTGGATGCCCCCTTGCTGGAGCGCACAGGCACGCGCTGAGGTCCCCGGCACAGGGGGCACGGAGGCGTGCGACCATCGTCTGCCACAGAGCATCCTTCGTCCCCGCTGGCGCGGCACAGCCGTGGTGGGCAGTGCCAGCGTCAGGAGGGCAGGAGTTACAGCATCAGCATCTCTGTTAACGTCTCTCTGAGCTCTGCAGGGGGGAGCTGGGGAAGAGCAAGATTTCCAGAGCTCCCTGAGCTCACCTGGGGAGCAGTCTCAAGGCTCTGCTTCCTCCGCAGCTGCCGCCGCTGCCTGGGACCGTGGCGGGGTTCGTGGATTAGACTGAGCTACCATCTGTCAAACAGAGAAGTGCCGTGGCCTCCTGATCTAGTTCAAGGCAGGCAAAGCTGGCTTGAGAGGATTGCGAGGCCGTGGGCCTGGTATTGCAGAGGCAGAGAAAATAGCTCAGTTGAAGCCTTCCCCCGATCCCGGCAGCAGTGCCAGACCCCGGGAGCGCAGGGAAGGATGGCGGTCCCGGTCCCCTTGGCTGCGTTACCCTCAGTGGGGACAGCGGTGGCTTGCGATTCATGGCACGTGGAATAACGGGACGCTCTGTGGTTACAGAAGGAGAGCGTTGTAGGTGTCCCCCTCCTCGCTCCGTGTGCCGGGGTCTCCGCGCGTGGTGTCCGGGCACAGCCCTGCCTTCCAGCCCCGCGCCCTGGGGGCCGTGCTGCCCTTGGCTGCGGCTCTGGTGGCAGGAGTGCCGGGGCTCCTCTTGGGATGGCGTTGCCATGAAAGACCCTCTCCGTGGCTTACACGGTTCTGGTGCAAAAGGCTCCCGGTCCGTCACCCTGATCCCAGCCACCACGGATCATGTGCGGGCACGGCTGGGAGCTGCTGCTGCTGCCGTTTCCCTCTCCTCGTCGGTACTGGGGAGGCTCCGGAGAGAGCAAGTGCGTTTCTAGACATGTGTCTGCATCAGTGCTCGAGATCCCAGAGGCTCTACATGGGGGACACAACAGTAAACAGGCTTGATGAATTTTCCCCTAAAATGGAGCTGCTGCTTTCCCTGCCTGTCATCTGCCATCAGCATTAGCACAGGGTTTAGGGAGCTGTCAGAGCAGCGGGAGTTATTGGAGCATGGGAACCGGGTGGTACATCCTTTGTAGAGGAGGACAAGTGGAGAAGGGGAAAAGCAGCAGTAAGGTAAAAAAAACAATGAATGGGAGAGGAAAACTCCCACTCACCCCTGCTTGTGTGATGTGGGTGCACCCTGCCACCGCTGGGGAAAGCTCCCTGGTATCTGAGCACCACCTCCTAGGGAGGGGACACAGGAGACCTGCAGGCTGGTGCCCGGGCTGCACGGGGAGGCTGCGCTGGTGTTGTGGTCCGTGCCCTCCGCCGGGCAGCCCCCCTCAGCCCACCCCAGGGAGAAGGACCGGGCAGGATGAGTCCAAGCACTTAAAAAATTCTTGATAGCCGTGCTGCTCTTCCCGAGCATCACCCGGCTGGCCCCTCAGCAGGGCTCTGAGCACCTCCCTGGAATTTCAGAAACGAACACCAGTCTCTTACTTTTTCTCCCCAGCCGGTCTGCAGCAGAAGCAGTTTGTTTTGTTTTTCTTTTGTTTGTCGGTAGCGTAGCTCTGTGTGTGTTTGCTGGGGAAGGTGCGTGCCTGCAGGCAGGTCTGGCTCTGAACTGCATCTGGTTTTGATGGACACGGTTCCTGCAGCCCAGGCTCACCCAGCACCTAACGCCGGCTCGTTCGGAGGCACCGCTAAGCAGGATGGCAAAACGCCGTGGCCTGAAGTGGGGCACAGTGGGGTTTGAAATGGGGCTTAGAGCCTGGGAACAGATCCTGGTGGGCCAGGAGCAGGGGATGGTGGCGGGGAGCGGCGTGCTGCTGGGTGAGGCTTGAGGCTGCAGAAGGTGGGGCCGGGTCCCAGCCTCTGCTGGGCGAGGACCTCGGCCCCAGTCTGGCACTGGTGAGCACCCTGCTCCCTGGCACTGGTGTGAGGGGCTGTGGGGGTGCGGCCCCCTCCTCCGGCCTCTGTCCTCCCGTGACCCCCTGAAGCTTGGCCAGGCTGGAGGTGCCTTCCCCGTCCGTGTGCCTTGCCAAGAGCCTTTCCAGTGCCCTCTTCAGAGCCCCCCCTGCCCTCAAGAGTGCAGACGTGGCAATCAGCAGCCACTAATTTATTTTGCTGATAAAGGGGGTCTTCTGGATCTTGGCTGCTGTAGCTGATGCTAAAGCAGCAATTACAGTTGGAGTGAGAAACAAGTGTCCAGTAGATTATCTGTGAAGACTCGTTAGCAGCTAATTGCTCTTGCGCTGTTTCAGGCCCTGTTTTCCTGTAGCGATTTGCTGTAAGTATGGTGTAATCCCTTAATGAGGCATGGCCATGGTACGTGTGCCCACCCAGAGCCACGCCGCAGGAGTTCCCGTGCGGGAGAGCGTGATGTGGCGAAGGGCGATCCTTCCCTGCAGACACCGCGCGCGGCTCCTTGACAGTAATGAGCTGTCCCCCACCAGCCAGGTGACACGATCTGAAGCTGCAAAAACCCAGCGGCACTGCCTGAGTCCCTCCTGCTGAGAGGCGCCGCACGTAAAGCTGCAGGCAGAAGAGGGACGAGGGCTGCAGCTGAATTTTCTCCCTGGGCTTTGTAGCCATATTACAATAGATTAAAAGGTGGAGAATGAAAGCAGAGGGTTCTTTCCGGAGTCAAAAGTCCATGCTTCCTTTGATTTCTGTTTGGCGAAGGGAAAAACTTCATCCCTGCGGTGCTGCACCAGGGCTTGGCGTGCACCAGGGCACGCCGGGAACCCCCTGACCAGCCGCCAAGGCAAATAGGTGAGGGAGAGGAGAGAGGGAGAGGAGAGGGGAAGAGCATTTGGATAAAGTTAAGGGTGCAAGCAGTCTGGCCAAGGGCGCTGCCCCAGCCCGCTGGGAAGTCTGACAAACACCCAGAACTAAATCAGCGCGCTCAGAGCGAGCGGTTCTTCCCGCTCCGTGGTTATGGCGAGCAGGGCCTGGAAGAGGCATCGCTGTGCCGTGGGAGGGACGAAGTTTTGTGGCTGGACACAGAGGCGGGCGCTCAGCATCTGTCCTTGACTTGTTATGTGCTGCATCTTCCCCGCGAGAGCACTGAAAAATTGCTACCTGCCAGGGTGTGGGGAGCTGCCTGTTTTCATGTGTTTTGTAACCCACAGGCAACAGACACAAAGTCATAATTATTTCTGTTGCCGTGCTCGGTGTTGCTGGGTGCTCACCCCTGCCATTAGCGCGGCTTGATGTGGCCCCTGTGATGTGGTTATGGATAGGCAGGCTGCATCCTTCCCAAAGCCGGGCCGATTGTGACTTCCCATGCTTCCAGAATATTTCCCGTGCTTAGATTTGTTTCGGAGCGCTCTTACAGCTTTTGGATCTTAGCTCATGACCATAAATATATTAAAAAACTCTTGTCCAAATGGTTGGTAGATCAAACCCAGCATTAGACAAAGCTCTAACTAACCAGCTGCTCACTTGAAATAAATATTTATTGTATAGTGAATGGAGTGAAGAATAAACATGTGTCCCTGTTTGTTTATGCTGCAAGGATTTGCTTCAGCTAAGCAGATGTATTCCCCCCCCCATGCGAGCCTGCTGGAAACTCCCCACGTTCCCTTCCTCGGCCGTGTGGGGTGTTTGGTCAGAGCTTTGCTGGCAGTGCTGGTTTTAAGTGCAGAACCTGCAAATACCATGCCGGGCTGCCTACAGGCGACTGCTCAGCTCCGGGAGGGGACCAGGACATGAGTGGCACGGCCAGGGACGCTGCTGGGCTTGGAGGCTGGTGCTGCCGGGGCTTGGTCGGTCCCCTTGGGGAGCACCGCTCCCTTACCGGCGCTGGAAGGGCTGCGGGCACGGGGGCGTGAGGGTGCTGCGTACCTTCAGCTGTAGGTGAGACTGGCAGCGGCCGTATCGT